TGGTTTCAGGATGGTAACGGTGCGGATGTGCAGCGTGGTGGTATTGGTCACAGCAAGGATAACATTGCTGATAGTATTGATAATGATAACACAAACAGTTATCAGTTGAAATGAAAAAGAAATCGCATATAAATCGAAAAAGGTCACTGCTCGTGAATTAGTAGTACATCACTTTCTTTCAGAGCGATTTGTGACCGTTTAGTTTAAACCCAGTCCGATAGATGATCTTCTCAACCTATGGGCACCGACAGGTCTCATTATTTTCGNTTCTATTATTTTATTCATGCTAATTGATTGGTTTCAGGATGGTAACGGTGCGGATGTGCAGCGTGGTGGTATTGGTCACAGCAAGGATAACAGTGCTGATAGTACTGGCAATGATAACACAAACAGTTACCAGTTGAAATGAAAAAGAAATCGCATATAAATCGAAAAAGGTCACTGCTCAGGCCTACGTGAATTAGTACATCACTTTCTTTCAGAGCCATTTTTGACCGTTTAGTTTAAACCCACCCAGTCCGATAGATGATCTCAACCTATGGGCACCGGCAGGTCCTCATTATTTTCGTAGGCGAATTCCGGGCACTTCAATGCCAAACGAACAAAATATTTAACACAAAATAAGTGCATCACTGTACTGCATTCAAGGTTTCCGTGTGATGCTTTTGGAAAATTGAGTAATTCATGGAATAGTTTGAATTCATCAAGCGTACATCACACAATCAACTAACTGGCTCATCATTCAATCTCAACTCCTTAAGCATTCCTTCATTTGTAACTTCAAAATAACCACGCCAACACCAACGAGTAAGCATATTTCCTTTCTCACTTAACAAGAACGAATGCATTTAAATTTTTCAACAAAAATTTCAACAAATTGAATTTTGAACAAAATCGCACTCCCTCAGATCATACAGGAAACGAGTGACGAATAAATCGTCGATCGGCGCGAGATTCAGTTTCCGTTTCGGAAATTTCACTGATGTAGGCAGTTACTTTTTCACATTGACGAACACGAATACGAACTCATAACTAATAAATGAATTTAATGAATGAATGAATGAGTAAGCTGCTAGCTTGCAAGTCCATTCATTTCGTTTCGTTCCGTCATCGTTTCTCTTTAAGAGATTTGCTGCAATTCGCGGAATCGTGCTTATGAAAGCATGATATCATTTCCTGTGTTATCTTTAGCTCTTAACAAACGATGTGATCGATTCTTTGCATTTTTTTAAAAAAAACAATTTCATTCGTGATGACAGATGGTTGGTTGCATGCCACAATAATGGATTCGATTGGTGTATGGGATTAGGGCATGTCGGCTGGGTTTAGCTTGATTGCTTGAGCGAGCAGTAATGTTATGAAACGAAGGAGAGAAAACGTTGCGTTCTGATAATCGCAACATTTTTATGAGTCGAGGCGCGATATGCACTAGTAATCGAGTTGAATCATCCTAGAGAATAATTCTGCCGAAGTTGTTTTTTTTGCCGACAATCAGAAAAATCGCTTATTGAAATGAATTTCTGTGGAATTCGCCTGTCTGTTAGAATTTGAGCATTGAATTTCCAAGTTGAATTGTTATTATTAGAATATAAGAAAATCAACGAATCCTTTCATGTATTATCATCATCAATTCTTTTCTCATTATACTCTATTCAGTTCGTTGAACGACGTTATGAAACCTGAGAAATTGTCTGGAAGCAAGAAAACGATAGAAAAAACGATGATTTCACCCACACACACAACCAATCTGTATGTGTTGATTAAGCATATGAGCTTTTAGAAATATGCTCTTTGAAAGGGCATAGTTGCGTTTGCTTTGCTTGAATTGAATTCTCTTCCCTTATCACGAAACATGAGTTGTTCACTCATGAATGTAAAGACTGCTTTTAAGAGCTCCAAAAAAAGAAGCTCTAAGATAAATTTGAAGTGTTGTTGTCTGAATTTCGAAACAAGGAAATAAATTCGCTTCGAAAAAGCGATAAATCATCGAATCGTTTGATTTGAACGAATAAGGTATTAAGATATATATGCACTAGCTAGCATAACATGTGGCTAGAGGATGGAATGGATGACTGAATGGGATTGATATGTTGAACATTCGTTCGTTATTAATTGCATCCACAAAGACCCACCACCATATTGTTAAGGCGATCAATTTCAACGATCGCATCGCATCCCTGCACACATCACCACTACCAACTCACATCAGTGTTTCTTCGCATATTTCTGTAATTCTTGCTTTGTGACGATCGCTTTATCACCATTTCATCAACGAGAAGTTGATTTCAAGCTGATTCCAAATATGGATTTGATCCGTTCCCATTCCAAGCATTCATTCACTGCAGGCAATCGAATCAACGGAAAATATTTTTCATGTAATTTTAGCATTCACGGAAATTAAATGGAAGAGAAACGTTGCAGTTTCCAGCGGTCTGTTTCTCTAGGAAAACATTAACGAAGTGAGCAAAGGAAAAAGCAAAAAATATCAGCTCATGTCAGTGGCGTAAGAAAAATCCGTTAGCATCGAAAGTAGCAAGCCAACTGATTCAGTCGATCATTGACTGCTAACAGTGTTGTTATTGATTGGATTTGATCAGAAATCAATAGATCAGCACAAACTCTTGAAAAGAAATGAAAAGATAAGTTTGGGTTAAGAAGGCGAGTATAAATTTCAGATTACTTATCGATCGTCGAGAGTTGTGCGATAGATTAGAGGATTGTCGCTGCTCTTGTATACATATCAGCTCCCGGAACTGTGATGTTGTAAGTGCCCTGGTGATCTCCTAAGGATATCACACGCTAGACTTGATTCTCGCTTGATTCCTAGCACAAGCGGAAATTTTCGTTCAAATTTTCTTTCCTATTGTAGATTTTTCACTTGTTATTTCCTATCTAGGAACAATTGCTCCTCCAGTCTGGATAGTTCAATCGAAGAATTTCTATGGTGAAGTGGTTGGATTTCTGGAGAGCTTAAAAAGGAGACACGCTGATGAAGTATTAAAACTCTCTATAGTATAGTTCAAATTCAAATCAAAGTGGTCGTGAGTTAAGCACTGAAGACTGAACGAGGAAAAATTCGCTTGTCACTAAAACTCGCTTTGAACCCATTCGTTTCTAACATTTTTGCTCATAGTCAGATTTTCGAATGAATCGAATCAAAATTTGCCATTCTGAAGTGAACGAACGTTATGCAGCTCACAATAATCAGTCCAATATATAGCAATAGCAATAGCAATAGTATAGGAATGAGCGTATGGCTTTACATGCATAATACAATCACATCCATTCAAACGCAAATGTATACACTTGATGATGCAAATACATGATATCTGTAAATTTTTGAGAGCATCAGCGTATATCATGCTAATGGAACAGCAATGAATGTGGATTGATTGAATGTATTGGTTTGATTTAGTTTCAGAACGAATAGTGCATTCGATAAGTGAGTGAACTAATATTTATTAATGCGAATATGCTCATTTATGGGTGGAAACTGGAATTGAGAACGTTAAGTGAATCGTTTGAATGGACACAATTTTACGAGTGAATATTTTGGAGTTGAAATTGGTGCTATTAATAGTGTTGTTGTTGTTAATGTTATTACAGTCTTCAACATTAGTATGATTACTCTCAATATTATTATTATTATTACTAGTGGTAATTACTATCATATGCCCACTTATTTTCCTGGTCGTATTGCTTTTCTTAGCAACTTACATGTATCAGCACCAACCAAGTATCTCGACCTGTTTTCGGAGTTGATTCGATTACTGCATGTTTGATCTGTAGCCTACAACTTTTTACGCATTCATTTTCTGCGTTGCCTATTCATTAGCAGCTTGTTTTCATTTGTATTGATTAACGAGAGGGTTTTAGATGTAATCAGCACAACAGGTGAGTTGCTTCCTATCACTCTTATCAGTGGTAGCGTTATCAGTGAGTGATAAAAAGTGAGTGATAACAAGCAATTGTTTATCGTTCCGTTCGATTGATCGATTAATCGATGGTCCGCCGGCCGCTTTCTTTAATTGACAGTTGGATGGATGGAGCAATTTCACGGAGGTAATTTAGCTGTTATCAGTGTGGGAAGCGAGGACATTCAATGATCCCGTGATGATTTCTTTATGCAGTATGCATTTGTTTCTCGAGCAAAAGAAAAGTCAAACTTTATCCACACATTCATTTTGTTTCCATGAATTCAACTGGGAGTTATTTGCTTGAACAGTTAGTTTGCTTTGTGCGAATGAAATGAAAAATGCTAACATTTCTAACACCTAATGTGTTATTGATCATTGTTCAGAAAATAAAAAACTAAAACAAACACTCTCCGCTAACCACTCGTCACTTTTTCCGCCAGCATCTGCGTTTGATGGTTACGAACTGCCGTGCTACCATCATCATCATTTGCAAATTGTCAAAATTTTTATTTTTTGACTGTTTCTTCTTATTCCGAGAAATTTGCAAGAATGCTTTACAATTGTTTCTCACTCACATCATCGTTGATTTTTAAGCGCCTCACAATCAGTGCAGAAGGAGGCATTTGTTTTGTGCATTTTTAAGAATAAGCCGAACAATCTAAATTTCTCGTCGCATCAATCATTACACGTAATTGTTCTTCTTTTTTTTTTGAGTTCTCATCGTTGCACATCGTTAAATTTTGTTCGTTGTCACTGTGAATGATCGGCCGCCAGCGTTTGACGTGCCACTTAATTCTGGATGGAAACGAGCAAAATGAACAAAAAAAAAACAAAATTGAAAAATTCCCCACCATTCTTCGTAAATCATCATTTGAAAGTTTTATTTTTACGGCCGAATTTTATGCGCGAACACCTGTCGACCCACTCACACACACATTTTCATTATTCAACAGTCCCATTCAATGAATTCGCTCGGTCATTCTTTTGTTTCATTTCACTTTTTACCATTTATATTCACTGAACTTTTGCACAATGAAATTAATCACCACCAATGTTTATTATACATTCTCATGATTAGTTGATGTCTTACAAACTGCTCAGTTTCTATAAATTCCATAAATTTCTCTCGATTTCGCTCTTTTTTCAATATTTTTTTTTACATTCTTGGAATCCTGTTTTTGATTCAGCGGTTGGTGGGTGTTCGGATGCTGGGAATGTTTCGTGACTCATTTTTATGTTGTTGCTTGAGAATTGCTGGCGAGTAGCAGCATCCCATTCCGTG